AATTCGTAATTTTAACTTTCAGTATACCTGTTTATTGTAAGGCGGTGAGGTGGCGCTGATTGGGTGTAATGTTATGCTCAGTCACGCGGCTGATCATTCCTTCTTTCTTTCAGACCTGTGTGATAAACTGTAACAACGCCTCGTGCTTGCAGTCCGAGTACTTTCCTAACCCTCACGCCTACTCTCCTGAACGCTGGATGAAGGAGGACAACGTGCAGCCACACCCTTACCTCCTGCTGCCCTTCGGCCACGGCCCCAGAATGTGTATAGGAAAACGGTTCGCAGAACAGCAGATGTACATTGCTATCAGCAAGGTATCGACCCCCCCCCCCTCTGCCTCTCGTCTCTCTTTTCCCTCCTCCCTCTCCCTCTCTCTCCCCTCTCCCTCTCTCTCTCTCTCACACACACTTTTTCTGCTATACATACAAGCACATTTTCTGCTACACACTCTCCTTCATATTTGGACAAGAAAACAACGTAATTCACTTCATCTTATTTAGATATGTGGGTACAATTCATTAGGTATTTATTTGATATTATATTTTCCTTCGACAAGCCCTAGTTTGCGCATGGGCAATCGTGTTTACCTTAAAGGAGGCCTTTCCAGATTTCCCCGCCAAATTAAATTTTCTCCTTCTCACGAATCACCTACCTACGTGCTTTATACCATTTCTAAGTGCTATGTTATTGCTACGTTTCATGCAGGAAATGTAGAGATAAAATTCATGTATTTGAGGACATTTTCCATCACGTATAGTTTACCTTTTATTTCACCATTTCATTCTCTTTCTCTCTTCAGCTTGTCCAAAATTTCACGATACAACACTCGGGCTCGGAGGACATTGGGATCACGTATACTATATTCGGGAAACCAGACGAACCTCTTGGTCTAACAGTCACACCAAGAGGTGACTAGACAGCGTTCTGCAGGAAAAGCGCTGACGAACTGTACGTTTCACTTTGGTATTCAAAGGTACTGGCTTACCATGGCTGTGGCAAATGGGAGAAGTGGAAAGTTTTAAAAAATCACACAAGGAAGCAAGAGAAATACTAAAAAGTGGACGCTTTTTCCATAATATGTAGGGTACAGGGTTGTAGCAATGGCTAGTTTTCCTCGTCTCATTATTTTTCTTTTGTTTTAATATTAATTGTGTTCCAGACATTTGAATTAAATAATTATGCCCTATGACTCAAATATGTATATAGTTTATTTTCTTAAATCTCGTTTGTAAAATAATTTTACTATGTGTAATTAGGTGTTTGAAATATTATTATTATTATTGTAATACATGGATATCTTAGTCTATTATCTTAGAGGTCTGTGTACATTTTGAAATATAATATAAAACTCGTTATTTTCAAGCCTGTGGAGTTTTTTTAAGAAATCTGTAAAAATCGTTTCAGTCACTTTAATTGAAATATATTAGTCACAGGTATCTTCAGTCGTGTTCTGTATCTCTGAATGAATAAAATTACTTTTAACTGTTTTGTTCTTGAGTTGTACACTTCCATTAGTTAAATGTTTATAACTTGTTAATCAATGGTTTAAATAAAATTAAACAATGCACTCCGGTAAAAAGAGCCACGTTATCTAGTTTACAGCGAGCACTTAGTAATCTCTGACCAGGAAAGCAGTTTTTGCCCTCGCATTATGTCTAAATCTGATTGTTGTGCTCAACACGATTTGCTCCATATTGTGCTAGTGAAGACAACAAAGAACAAAAATGATCTCTTGCACATACATGTATAGCCGTCACCTGCGTCTCGTCGCCATGCACTTAAACATTTTGGCTTTAATCCTTCAGAACTAATGTATATTCATAAAGGGCAAGTCGAGTTCGAAAATTAGCATGATCGGGTCATTTTTTTTCAAAAGTTCTCTTGTTTTTCACTTTTTTCAGTATATATGCAACACTGATAACACATTTCAAGGAAAACTGATTGGCTTATTGTCATGAAACTCACAGGAGAGATCAATCTTACTAAAATACGGGTTGGGTTTAAAAATCAGCTTGATCGGTGCAGTTTTGATGAAGTTATGCCTTTTTATAAGTGGTTTTTCATCAAGTTTAATTCCAAGGCATGTTAACAGTCTTATTATTCAACTAATTAGATATGTAAAAGGGTTCCTTTGACATTATCTGCATCTTAGCAACATTGTCAGTTGATTTTATAAAAATGATGGTAAACCTGTCATTGAGTATTGTGTAATAAAGTGTGAAAAATGGAAATAACCTCATGTCATTGCAGTTTGTCAGATTCAATCATTCCCTATGTTCAGAATCTCAGAATGGAGCAAATTAGACATTCAAATTGTTATTGATATTTTTCTCATCTCTACAATTTTCTAAGTTGGTCATATAAAAATGGAAGTAAATGGGTTTTTTGTTTTATGTAAAAAAGTGTTAAAATAAAAATAAACTCATTTTAATACAGTTATCTCTTGTTTCCAATTTGGCGTTTTCAAGGTGTGACTTTGAAATTCCATGGGCCTGAAGACCTTTGCTGGTTACATTTTCTAAATATTCATGTGACCTGCAGTGCATTATTAAATAATGGTGGTGATAATGCTGTTACGCATTATGTTATATTGCATCAAAATTGAAGAAAACCCTTTTTTGGACATTGCTGCCATAGTCACCATAAAAAGAAAACAATGCCACTTACTCTTCTCAAACTTACAGGAAAGAAAAAAGACTAACTTTCAGCGTCAGTTGGAAAACCAGTCTGATTGGTTAATTTTTGTGGATGTTATATAGTTTTTTTATGAAAATTTCATTTTTCACATATTGGCATTATCAAGGTGTGATTTTACACCTCCATGGGCTTGAAGACTTTTGCTACTCACATGTTCCGAATATTCATTATAATTTCATTTTATTACTAAAAGTTGTTGCGCATAATGTAATATTGCATCAAAAATGAAGAAAACACGTATTTTGGATATTGCCTCCTTGATGACCATTGAGGGAAATCTATGCTACTTATTATTCTAAAACTTGCAAAAAAGAATAAAAGCACTAAAATGCAGCCTGGTTGGAAAAGCAGTCTAATTGTTTTTTTCTAAATGTCCATGTTATTTATAGTAGATGTTAAAATTGGTTCTAATTATACCATTAACAATTATTTAATACTGCAAAAATACTTTGTTCACTGCCACCACAAATGTTATAGAAAGAAAACTGTATAATTTTCAATAATGATTTTTAAGATTGACATACAGCTCAAATTAGCTCTATTGGATTATCATTTTTAATATAGGCAATTTTTGTGAATTTTTTATTTTTCTCATTCTGGAATTTTTAAAGTGTGAACTTGAACTCTCATGAGCCTGAAGCCTTATGCTTGTTACACATTTTACTTAAATCGGTATTAACTGTTGTGCATGATTGAAATTTGATGCTGACTTTGCAGTTAATTATAATGTATAATTGCATCAGAGATTTTTTCAGCATATATGCAACACCAATAACAAGATAAGTGGAGAACCGTTTTACTATTTTGTGCATTTTTATTTTCTGCTTTTTGTCTGTACATTTGACAGCTTTGCTGCCTTGTTTTCCATTTTGTTTACCCACTGCAAGCCACATTGTATTTAGCCCTGTAGGGAGGATACTTTTCGGGAGCGGGAGCTAAAGAGTGATTATCTATAGCTTTTCATTGGTCTAAACTACTACTTAGGCTTCATTCACATGCAATGTCTATTTTCTAAAAATCTATTTTCTATTCGCGCTATCTTATGATCACGGTCTGTGCCCTGAATATCCCGCCGCGTAATTACTGGCAGCGCGAGCCAGTTACTTATAGTAACTTATAGCGCGAAGAAATACCGCGAATAGAAAATAGAATTTAGAAAATGGACATTGCATGTGAATGAAGCCTTTGTCTGACTACTTTGCACGAGTGGCACAAATTTATACATCTTGTAGCACGTGATGACAGGGCGGGGCTAAACAAAAACTATCTGTCAATCAAATACGTGTGCATCTCAACTAGGGTGGACTAGGTGGGTAGTATTGATTAACAAAAAACTCCATATATGTGCATTGTAAATGTATACAACTAGATAAGGGGAAATAAGAACATATATGAGTTGCATGTCTGCTTCGAAAGCCGTAAAAATCGAAAATTGGGCATGAATCCCTTGATATACGGTTTGGGCCCTAACGTTCGTCAGAAGTTAAAAGGGTCCCAAGCAAGTATTTCAGTCCGATAAGGTAAAATTCAGTGAACCGCACTATAGTCTGGTGCTTATAAAACTGGCTCTTCATACAATGGTCGCCTACTCTTATAAAACCGCCTAGGCCGTGACACAAAAAAAACTATTATTGTAACTGGGTCAGCTCCCGTGTTATTATTGTTGCTCGGGTACAGCCGTCCCCAGAACAAGCAAGGCAGTAGCGGTATATGCCTTAAAGATACAGGAGTCCTCTAGGTAGGTGTGTTCTACAAGAGTGCTTAGCACAAGCAAACACCCGAGTAATCCTAACCATCACAGCAGACAGTGTACAGATACCGTATAGATGTGAAAGACTGAGACCACATTTCCGTAGACTGAAAAGATGCTTTGGGACGTGAGAAAAAATTCTATATTAAATGTCGTGATGGTTGAATGGGGGGAGTGGAGGAGGGGGCAGCTGCTGACTGTCTACAGTGTACTTGTACGTGTAAACAGCCAGGTGGTATGTTGCTGGGTAGGCCCACGCATCTAGACACCCGAGACGCTGACTGAAGGAAAATGAATTAACTAAGAATCTCCTGATTTATATTGCTGGGTACGCATCTACATGGACAATAGAAGTGACACCCCTACTGAACCAATACTTTGGGGGGAGATAAATAACTGTGGAATGATATGCTCCTGGTATCATTTTATTAACATCAAATTTCACAAGAGAAACGGTTCTGACTGAACAATTCAACTGTATCGATATTCTGACATTGCTTATATTCCGCCTCTTCAAGTTAATAACTTTGATTACTCTGATGCAGGAGGTGACACTTCTATTGTCCAGTGTGTGTAGACGTCAGAGACGCTGACTGAGGGAAAATGGATTAAGAGACTAAAAGAAAATGCGCACCCTATATAAAACTTCAAAATATACTTTTCAAGAATTTCTAGGGGAGATCGTTGGGATGGTATGTCAACTTTCCCTGCCCCCCCCCTCCCTGCGGCTCAAACTCCATGCATGTGTTTTGCATTTTGTTTTATGTAAAAAGATTGTTGAAAAAGAAAAGATACTCATTTTAGAATAGATATCTCTTGTGCATATATTTGCAAGTCATATTTTCTTAATATCATGTTACCTGTAGTGCATGATTAAAGATCGATTGTGACTATGCGGTTAAGCATTATGTAATATCATATCAAAAGTGAAGGAAACCTATTTTGAGCACTGTCACCATAGTGACCATTAAAGGAAACCCTTACAGAAAAAAACATAGGACCTAAATGCAGTTTTAACTTTAAAACATAGATTCATTGACAGTCATTTGGTGTTAAGCATTATCTAATATTGTATATTGTACGAAAATCCTATTTTGGACTTTGCTGCCATGATGACCATGTTAGTCATGATTCTGAAATTTACTGCAAATACTCATAGGACTGAAGTGTTGGAAAATCAGTGAGAATGCTTTCTGTTTTGGTAGCAATGCAGTTCCTTATGAAATTCTCATTTTCACATACTCTTTGGTGCCATATAGATGCAACAGGTGGTCAGTCTGTAATTGTCCCTTGGGTAGTCACTAGCTAAGTTTAGAGCCAGTAAGTCACTTGACTAATTAAGTGGCATATATATATATATATATATATATATATATATATATATATATATACACTGATGCTCATAAGTTAAGCAACACTTTCTAATTTCTCAAATTTCTCAGCAACCAAGCTTTTTATTGAGACAAAATGTGTACAGTAGCTAGATATATCTCTTGTTTTTACTTTGACTTACTGTACCCTTATATTTGAGTACTATTTACTGCTGGACACGGTAGAATATGCAATGGGGGTGCCACTTGCGAAAAACACAGTTTGGCCATGCCATGTGCAGCTTCCAGTTTGGCTAGTTTCATGGGCACAAATTGTTATATTGCACCAACTAATGGTTAGAAGAGGACTTAACGAGGCCATCAGGTGGCAAATAATAGGAACTTATCGAGCTGGGGTGCCAAAGAGACAGATTGCAAGGCAACAAAAATAGCGCCAAGTCAAGTGTCCAAGCTGGTAGCAAAATAGCACCAAACTCATCATGTATTGGACAAGCCTCTTTCTGGTAGACCAATATTAACCGACGCAAGAGATGAAAATGTCTGGTTGATTATGCCATCAAAACCAGTTCATGTTGGCGAAACAACTGAGGAACATCTAGCCTGGATTAGGAAGAGCTCGAATCAGTAGGCAAACAGTCAACGGGCATCTTTTACAAGCCAAACTTTCATCTAAAAGACCTCGTCAAAAGCCACCGTCGACCAACAGACACAAGCAGATAAGATTGGCATGAGCCAGATGACGAGAAAGATTTAATTTATGTATTAACTTGCAGTGGATGTGGTGAGAACTATATAGGACAAACCGGAGACACTCTCCGACATAGAATGACCGTTCACAGACAACAAATAAGACAACCTAAATATCAGTGCACGTCTGTGAGTGGACACATCAGGGAATGCTCTATGAACAAAAACAAGGACTTTAGGGTATTCCCATTTTATAAATTCACTAGGGAAACAACCCAAACAGAAAGGGAAATAAAAGAAAACCTATTTATTAATAAATATAAACCTACATTAAACAGGTAACATCATTGGTAAAAGCAACAATGAAATACCCATTGTTAGAAACATCACATTCAGCCTCTTTGACATCTTATAGTAACCAAAATAAACAAACCACCTGAAGATGCAATGAAACCTGTCGGGGCAAAATAGCTGCTGTTCTTTTTTTTTTCTTTTTATCATATACCAGTGTTTGAATATATATATATATATATATATATATATATATATATATATATATATATATATATTCAAACACTGGTATTTTCAAAATGTGAATTTTAACTCCCATCCACCTAAAGCTATAAACATTTTCTGTATTTCCACATAAGCGGTAGTACTGGCGTTTATGTAATTAAACATTGTTATATCATTTTATGCACTGTCAACATTTTCCACATATTGGGATTTTTATTATGTGAATTTAAACTGTCATGGTTTTGAAACTGTAATCTTATTGACCATGTTACCTGTTGTGCATGATTTAAGTTTAATTTTGGTTGACTGTGTTGTTATAAGCATTATTTATTTTTACATCAAAATTGACAAAATGACAAACTTTCTACATCCTTATTTTGTGCTCTTTGTCTGTGCATTTGACAGCTTTGCTGCCTTGTTTAATGGTTTCCAGCTTTTCCCTTCTTACATCAAGTCATCTCCTCATCCAAGATGCCTGTACATTTACACCAGGCTGGGAGATGGACTAAATGTGCCCGGTACTATATCGCCAGCCGGTCCTACACGACCTCCACTACCACCAAAATCAAAGACCCGCCCACACCCCACGGGGCGGCTACACACATACCTCAGGCACGGCCGCTGGAAGAAATGCCCGGACCCAAGGGTTTACCTGTGCTGGGAAACCTTCTGGACTATACCAAGTTTGGTACGCTCATTTTGCACTGTCATCTAGTGTGTTAGCTGGTCAGATAAACCATTATTATACCGGTATAGTTTATAGAATATTCCTTTAGGTGGAGTAGTTTTACGACCCTTGTTTATGAGACAAATATCGGTATATTTTTAATGTTAAAACCATCGTATGATATTTTAAGTATAACATGAAAATTTATCAAATCATCTTCCAGGGAACAAAAAAATATCTTAATTACACCTGCAGCTCGCTAAGGACTTTGAGAAATATGGAAAGATTTTCAAGGAAAGACTCGGACCCAGCACATACATGATTTATGTGTCCGACCCTGAAGATATTGCCACTGTGTTTAGAAAGGAGGGCCGTTACCCAAGCCGCGGGGCTTCGATACCCTTGCTGGATGTTTATTACAAGCGCACAGGAAAACCTTTAACTTTAGGAATGGGGTAAGTAGAGGCATATAACATTTTCCAGATTCAGAGCTAAACATTGGTACTCTTCTCTTCGTTTTTAAAAAATATGAGTATTTTTTCTTTCAAGTCAAAATTTCTCAGAATATTTCTATTTAAAAGCTTAATATTGCAGTATTTTTCTGTTTATTTTTAAAACTAATTATTTTTTCTCGTTCATATGAAACGTCTTTTTTTTCAATGTGAAATGGAAAAGTATTCTTCACTTCAAAGTAAAAAAAAAGTAAGAGGTTTCTCTGATTCAACGCTACACATAGCTGTATTTTTCCTGTCTATCTTTGAAAATCGGTGTTTTCCTTGTTTAGATTTAAAATTAAAATACATCTTTAAAAATATTCTGTTTTAAAAGTATAATATCTATGCTTTCGGCTAGTCAGCCTTCTTCAGGGACACAAATTTAACGCTTGATTCTCATATACAAGATCTATACGGTGATTTATGATTAGCATTGTCTAAGTTGTAATGTAAAATGTAAAAAATTTTTTCTCCTTGGTGCAAGAAACGACAGTTTTAAGTTTAACAGTGCAGTTTTTTCCTGTTCGTCTTTGAATATCAGAGAAACTTCCCATTGAAAATGAAACACCAATGTAATCTGTAGAAGTATTTTTTCCTTAGGGATAGAAAGGAGTTTTTATATCTGTTTAAAGTTAAACAGTGTAATATTTTTTCATTTTTTGTATACCAAAAAATTGAATGGAACATCAACCTAATATGCAGAAGTATTGTTATCTTTAGTGCATGAAACAACAGTTTTACTTTAAGAATCAAGTTTTCTGTTCTCCTTTGAAAATCAGAAAAGTAAACAATCAAATATTTTAGCTTATTTGTCTTGACGTAATGGTAGGCATGCACTCCCTGCGTGTCTTTCTAGATTTTAGTCAGTGAAAACATTTTAGTTTCTCTTTCAAGAGATGGCAAACAGTGGCATGACCGACGTACGACGACCCAGAAGAAAATGCTCCGCCCCCAAGCCGTGCAGCTCTACCTAAGTATGCAGTCCCAAGTCACAGATGACTTTGTGGCTTACCTGCGGAAGATGGCCGAGGAAAAGACAGAGCTCGATATTCAGGAGGAACTGGTGCAGTACGTCATGGAATGTAAGCTTCTCTTCACACACGTTTTAATGTTGCAAAAGCAAATGCGTACCTACATGTTTTGAAATAGAGAATGAACCGTGACTGAATTGAAAAGTGAATATATAAAGGAACGTTTCTTCCGCCAGTTTTATGATATAACACTTTAATGTTAATATGTTTTTGCACAGCCTGTGGGTCGCCATATTTGATCGCGGATCTGTTAGTTTGCTGTTCTGAATGCGCTCTTTGGCCCCATTCAGAAAAGGGGACTAACTAGCCCGTGGATCAAATATGGCGACCCACCACAAAGCTTGCCGTCTAATCTGCTAATGGACACTGAATAGATATCCCCTGGGGAAGTAATGAAGTGGTCAGACATATTTTACCTTCATACTAATTAGTCCCTTATTTTGAATGGAGCCTTAGTCAACATTTGAGGATGCAGTCACTTATAGTATTGCTTATTGGTAGCTATTTCCATTTCAGAAAATGTTTCTTGTTCAGGTTGGAGTCAAATTATTTTATTTCACTTTTTTTTCCTTTTTTAATCACCTCATTTTTATTTGCCTACCTTTTAGCGATTGGAAATGTATGTTTTAATATGCGACTCAACGTGCTCGGAGCTAAATTGCAACACGATGCCAAGGAGCGAATGTTTATTCAGAAGAACGAAGAGTTGTTTGCCCTGCTGGCCGATACCATCTTCTCTTTTCCGCTCTTTAAGTGGTTTCCAACGCCTCTCTATGCTCGGTTTGTGAAAGTGTACTCCTTTATCTTACAGTAAGTACAGGGGTATGACAGAACCTTTTACACGCACTCAATGGGATCAGTTGTGGGAGCAAATATTTTCAATTTAGAATATTTGGTGACCGCCGTGATTGAGGAAAGATTAAAATTGAAATTCAGACCAAAATTGACAGGTGATTTTACAATACAATATGATCTACCCAAGCCCATGCCTCAGTTATGGGGGATTCCCTGCAGAATTAAGACTTTCATCTAACAAATTAGCAAAAGAACAAGGGAGATACTCCAACACTACAAAAAAAATAAAATTTTAATCTTTGTTATGTGAACGAGATAGGAGAGGAATTTCTTTATACTCCGATATAAACATTACATATTACATTTAAGGAAGAAATTTATTTAAAAAAACACCCTAAGGCCTACCAAGGGTTATCGTTGAAAAATAATACGAAATTAAGTAATTAAGGTAAAAATATATCACAATCAAAATAAGAATCCCTTTGGCTATTTGTTGATTTTATAACATGACTTCAGTTATCCTACATGCAGTTCATTTAATCTTTGTTTTATTTGTTTCAGATTTTCAGCGGATCTTGTCGAAAAGAGTCTTGCGAAAAATGCCGAGTTGAGGACAACGGAAGACAGTCCGCATCATCGCCGCAGCACTCTTTGTAGCAGGAGTAGAATCGGTGACTTGTAAACCATTTCCAAATATTTTTTTATTTTGTCAGTTTGTTTGAAGTGCTTTAAGTTATATTTCTGAGGATACTTAAGGAAATACTTATGACAGCAAATCGTATAACTGTTTCTCTCTCTCTCTCTCTCTCTCTCTCTCTCTCTCTCTCTCTCTCTCTCTTCATTCGACAGTTTCCCTTTACGATATCATATTGTCTTTGAATGGGGCGTTTATCATTAACACGATCATTCAGCTGTGAGAAATTAAATGTTTGATATGGAGTCGAAAGCTGACATTGAAACCGACTATTTTACGTGTAATACACAAAAATGTTTAAAAGGAGCCGAAATAATACGGAAAGAGAGCGTCAGGATAAACGTATGCTAGATGCATCCCCAAGGCTTCTTCCCATGTTACCTTTCTTCACTTAACATATTGGTGGTAAGTCCCTCTTCCCTACACCCCCTCCCCCCCCCCCACCCCCGGAAAAACAGACACACCCCAACATAGGTAGTAGAGACGAGAAAGATATTACTGTATATTCATTTTGAATTTCTCTATACCCTCTTTACTATCAACATGTCATGACGGAATATGTCCTGTTTTCCTGCGTAGCTTTGGCCTTACTTACTTGTAAGTTAGGCTTTGTGTCTACTTGTATTTTTTGTTGCTCTCTTTTTCAGACCTCGAACAGCCTGGCCTTTTTACTGTACAATTTGGCCCGCAGCCCAGACAAACAAGACAAATTAAGGGCCGAAGTGACCCGAGTGTTGCCGAGAGATGGTCACATGACCACCGAACACCTCAATCGTCTGCCCTATATGAAAGCGTGTGTGAAAGAGTCTATGAGGTATGCAATGAAATCGAAAAAAATGATATACCTTTATCTACATTTTTCTTGGTAGTAAGCCAAACGCTGCATTTGTAGTACAAATGAGTAACTTGGCATTAATGTTCCTTGGCCAAATGACATTTTTTTATCCATAGAGATACTTCTATTGACGCATAAATTTGCATAATTTACATAATTAGCATAATTAGATACAAAAATATGATATATCATATTAGCTTCACTTTTATGACTAAAAACGTATATATTATCAAACCTGCCTTAATTACCAGGAACCCATTTATGGAAACAATTGCCTGACATTTGGTGTCTCAAATTCAAGATGGACGCCATCCGCCATTTTGAAAGTGGACATAATTTTGCCATTTTTTTTTTATTATTATTATTTTATTATTATTATTTTTTTTTTTTTTAGCGTTTGACCTACATATACGTGCAATAATTCTCTTACTACATGTATTTTACGGGTTCATAAGTTATTTTTGATATTGTTTGGTGGTAGAAGATAATTTGAAGGGACATATTATATAGATATAGCCCAGCCGAGCGGAAATCCCCATTAAGCCCAGTCCATAGTGACAATTATAATATTTTAAAAGGACTTAGAAACTACTTTTATTGTGTGTACGTTAAAGAGTTTTCTAATCTCCGTCTAGTGTTTGAATATAGTTGTAACGATCAGTTCATATCTTCTTTAAAATTTTGTTGCAGAATATGTAAGTTTGTTTTTTCAGGTTATACTTCCCTGTAGTGATAGCAGCTTCGAGAATCCTGGCCGAAGACGCTGTTCTGGGAGGTTACCTAGTACCAAAAGGGGTTTGTGGATATTTATTGTCACATAATATTGTTGCAAGCGTGGTCTGATCTCAAATTAGACTAGAAGCCAAATTAACCATTTTCTTAAGAAAAAAGTTTTAATACTTACTTAAACCGCCACAACTTAAGTGCTCCTATTGGAGTATGACATTCTCAACTTTACAAAGTTCAGTTTTAACGTAAATTTCTAATTTTAACAATTTGCCTGTCTGTTTTAAGGAGGTGGCGGTGGTTAATCTAAAGTTTGGGTGATATGTCATGCTCAGTCACGTGACTGATCATTACTTTATTTTTTTCTTTCAGACCTGTGTGATAAACTGTAACAACATATCGTGCTTACAGTCCGAGTACTTTCCTAACCCTCACACCTACTCTCCTGAACGCTGGATGAAGGAGGACAACGTGCAGCCACACCCTTTCCTCATGCTGCCCTTCGGCCACGGCCCCAGAATGTGTTTAGGGAAACGGTTCGCGGAACAGCAGATGTACATTGCTGTCAGCAAGGTATTAACCCCAATCTCTCTGTCTCTGTCTTTCTGCTCTCTTTTTCTCTCTTCCCTCTCTCTCCCCCCTCTCTCCCCCTCTCTCGCTCTCTCTCTCTTTTTCTTTCCTCCCCCTTTCCCTCTCTTCTCACTCTCTCCCTCTTTGCTATACATACAAACACTTTTTTTTCTGCAACACTCTCGGAGTCTCCTTCAGATTTAAACAAGAAAACAACGTAATTCACTTGATCTTACTTAGATATGTGGATATAATTCATTAGGTATTTATTTGATATGATCTTATTCTTCAACAAGCCCTAGTTTGCGCATGGGCAATCATCTTAACTTTATAAAGGAATCCTTCCCAGATTTTCCCGCAAAAATTGAATTTTCTCCTACTCACGAATCACCGTCCAGCCTCTGTACATGAATCCGTGTTTTATACCATTCCTTATTGCTACGTTATTGCTACGATTCATGCAGGAAATGTAGAGATAGAATTCGTGTTTGGGGGACACTTTCAAACGCGGATTGTTTACCTTTTTATTCCACCATTCCATTCTCTTTCTCTCTTCAGCTTGTCCAGAATTTCACGATACAACACACGGGCTCGGAGGACATCGGAATCACGTATACTTCATTTGGGAAACCAGACGAACCTCTTGGTCTAACAGTCACACCAAGAAGCAACAATGTTCTGCAGGAAAAGCACTGACGAACTGTACGTTTCACTTTGGTATTTAAAGGCCCTGACTTACCCAGGCTATCGCTAAGGGGAGAGGGGCAATGTAAAAGAAAAATCACAGAGCGAAGCGAAATTAGACGTTTTAACCATAATATGCAGGGTACAGGGTTGTAAAATTGGTTTGTTTTTCTCGTCTCATTCTTTTTCCTTTATTTTAATATTAATTGTGTTCCAAACATTGTATAATTATCCCTTATAACTCAAATATGTACATAGTTTATTCTTTCTTATTTCTATTTTGTAAAATAAATTTGCAATGTGTAATAAGGTGTTTTAAAGATTATTATTATTAAAATACATGAATATCTTAGTCTATTATCTTAGAGGTCTGAGCACAAATGTAATATAAAACTCGTCGTTTTCAAGCCTGTGGAGTTTTTTAAAGAAATCTTTGTAAAAATCGTTTCTGTCACTTTCATTGATATATATTAGACACGTGTATCTTCAGTCGTGTTTATATCTCTGAATGCATAAAATTAATTTTAACTGTTTTATTCTTGTGTTGTACACTTCGATTATTTAAAGGGATAATAACTCTTTGTATGAGATCTATATTTCACAATGAAAACATTGTGAACAACTCATAGAAATATAATACATTCTGTTTTACCACAAAAAAGGCAGTTATAGCTATTATTCTGACTTCTGAGCTTGTCCTCAGACTACGTGACTTCCATTGATGGCTATACTTTGTTATAATCTCTTAAGAGATTTTAACAAAAAACCAAACTTTTAGAAAAAAAACAGGGACTAACTTTGAAAGTAAAATGGATTCATGAACCATTGGTAAGTATGGGAAATTGTTGTTTACTCCAGAAAAATTCATTTTTTGGCCAAAACGAATAGTTATTATCCCTTTAAATATTTATAACTTGTTAATCAAAGGGTTAAATAAAATTAAATAACGCGCTCCGGTTGAAAGAGTCACGTTATCAAGTTTGCAGTGAGCACTTAGTGATCTCTGACCAGGAAAGAAGTATTTACCCTCACTTTCTGTCTAAATCTGATTGTTGCACTCTCCACAATTTGGTCCATATTGTGCTAGTTTTAACTATGTTTTAACTATGTTTATATTAATATATTGTCTTAAAAGACAACAAAGAAAGAAAATGATCTCTGGCACATATAGCCGACACCTGCGTCTATCGTCGCCGTTGCCATCGTTACCCTTTGGCTTTAATCCTTCAGAACTAATGAATATGCAAAAAACGCAAGTCGAGTTCGAAAATTAGCATGATTGGGACATTTTTTTTCAAAAGTTATTCTGTTTTTCACTTTTTCAGTGTATATATGCAACACTGATAACACATTTCAAGGAAAACTGATCGGCCTATTGTCTTCAAACCTACAGGAGAGATCAATCTTACTAAAATACAGGTTGGGTTTAAAAATCAACTTGATCGGTGCAGTTTTGATGAAGTTATGCTTTTTGTATAAGTGTTTTTTAATTGGACTTAATTCTAAGGCATGTTAACAGTCTTATTATTGAACTAATTAGATACGTAAAAGTGTTCTTTGACATTTTCTGCATCTTAATAACATTGTTAGTTGATTATATAAAAATGATGGTAAACCTGCCATCGTGTATGGTGTAATAAAGTGTGAAAAAAATCTCACGTCATTGCAGTTTGTCATATTTAATCATTCCCTATATTCATAATCTCAGAATGGAGCAAATTAGACATTGTAATTGTTATTGATATTTTTTCTCATGTTAACAATTTTCTAAGTTGTTCATATAAAAATGGAAGTAAATGTTGTTTTTTTTTTCTTTTTTGTTTTATGTAAAAAAGGTGTTAAAATAGAAATAAACTCATTTTAATACAGTTATCTCTTGTTTCCATTTTGGCGTTTTCAAGGTGTGACTTTGATATTCCATGGGCCTGAAGACCTTTGCTATAGTCACATTTTCTAAATATCCATGTGACCTGCAGTGCATTATTAAATAATGGTGGTGATTATGCTGTTAAGCATTCGGTAATATTGTTTCAAAATTGAAGAAACCTATTTTAGGCATTGCTGCCATAGTCACCATAAAAAGGAAAACTATGTCAGTAACTCTTCTCAAACTTACAGGAAAGAAAAAAGACTAACTTTCAGCGTCAGTTTGAAAACCAGTCCGATTGGTTGATTTTTCTGGATGTTAAACATTTTTGTGAAACTTTCATTTTTCACATATTGGCATTTTCAAGGTGTGACTTTACACTTCTATGGACTTGAAGACTTTTGCTAGTCACATTTTTTTAATATTCATGATACTTTTCTATTATAATTAAAAGTTGATGGTCATTATGTTGTTAAGCATTATGTAATATTGCATCAAAATAAAGAAAACCCCATTTTGGAAATTGTCCCTATCATGACCATTAAAGGAAAACCATTTTAATTATGATTCTCAAACTTGCAAAGAAGAATCACAGCACTAAAAATGCAGCCTGGGTTGGAAAAGCAGTCTAATTCACTTTTGCTAAATGTGCATGCTATTTTTAGTAGATAATTAAAAATTGGTGGTAATTATACCATTAATGATTATGAAATACTGCATCAAAATTTACAAAGAAAACTTCTTTGTCCACTGCCACCACAAATGTTCTGGAAGGAAAACTGTGTTTAAGTTACAAGAATTTATTCTTAAGATTAACATAAAGCTCAAATTATCTCTGTTGGATTATCTACTTTAATATGTGCAATTTTGTGAAATTTTCATTTTTCTCATTCTAGAATTTTCAAGTGTGAACTTGAACTCTCATGAGCCTGAAGCATTTTGCTTGTTACACATTTTACTTAAATCGGTATTAACTGTTGTGCATGATTGAAATTTGATGCTGACTTTGAAGTTAATTATAATATATAATTGCATCAGATAATTTTTTCAGCATATATGCAACACCAATAACAAGATAAGTGGAAAACCGTTTTACTATTTTGTGCGTTTTTATTTTCTGCTATGTGTCTGTACATTTGACAGATTTGCTACCTTGTTTTCCCGTTTGTTTACCCACTGCAAGCCACATTGTATTTAGCCCTATAGGGAGAGTACTTTCTGGGAGCGAAGAACTATTAAAGAGTGATTGATCTATAGCTTTTTATTGATCTAAACTACTATATTAGACTGACTACTCTGCACGAGTGGCACAAATTTATACATGGTGTAGCACGTGATCACAGGGCGGGGCTAAACAAAAACTATCTGTCAATCAAATACGTGTGCATCTCAACTAGAGTGGACTAGGTGGGAAGTATTGATTAACAAAAAACTCCATATATGTGCATTGTAAATGTATACAACTAGATAAGGGGAAATAAGAACATATATGAGTTGCATGTCTGCTTCGAAGCCGAAAAAATCGAAAATTGGGCATGCATCCCATGAAATACGGTTTGGGGCCTACGTTTGTCAGAAGTTAAAAGGGTCCCAGGCAAGTACTTCAGCCCGATAAGGTCAAATTCTGTGAACCTTCACCTTGATGCACTAGTCTGGTGCTTATAAAAGCAGGCACTTAATACAATGGTCGCCTACTATAACAAAACCGCCTAGGCCGCGACACAAAGAATAAAAACCTATTATTGTAACTGGGTCAGCTCCCGTGTTATCATTGTTGCTCGGGTACAGCCGTCCCCAGAACAAGCAAGGCGGTAGCGGTATATGCCTTAAATATACAGGAGTCTTCTAGGTAGGTGTGTTCTACAAGAGTGCTTAGCACAAGCAAACACCCGAGTATAATCCTAACCATCACAGCAGACAGTGTACAGATACCGTATAGATGTGGAAGACTGAGACGTAAACGTCTCACTAGAAGATTACAGCGAGACACTAGCGGATACCTTGCAGGTAACGGCTAACGTTAAGGTAAGCTGACACCACATTTCCATAGACTGAAAAGATGCTTTGGGGCTTGAGAAAAAAATATTCCACATTAAATGTCGTGAAAGGGGAATGGGGGGAGTGGAGGGGAGGGGGGGGCAGCTGCTGACAGCCTACAGTGTATTTCTACGTATAACAGCCAGATGGTATGTTGTTGGGTACGTATCTAGATGCCAGAGACGATGACTGAAGGAAAATGGATTAAGAGACTCAAACTCCATGCATGTGTTTTTGTCTTTTTTCACTTTAGAATGTGCCCACTAGATCTGAGTGATCTATTTTTCATGTACAGACAGATGCTTCTGTACGTATAGCTGTCACCTGCGTCTGTCGTTGCCGTAGCAAACACGATAAATGTTCTCGTTTAAAATCAGCATGATCAGGTCATTTTTAAAAGTTGTGCTGTTTTTTCGCTTTTTTCAGCATATATGCAACACCAATAACAAGATAAGTGGAGAACCGTTTTACTTTTTGGCTTAAATCTTACAGAACTAATGAATATCCATAAAACACAGGTCGAGTTCGAAAATCAACATGATCATGTCATTTTGAGGCTGTTTTTTTTTCTTTTTTCAGCATATACGCAACACAGATAACACATTTCAGGGGAAAATCGATCGGCCTATTGTCTTGAAATTCACAGGACTGATCTACCTTACTAAAATACAGGTTGAGTTCGAAAATCAGTTCGAAAATCAGACCATTTTTACACAATTTTTTCTTTTGGGGTTTTCTTATAATTTTTTATATAGATATTTTCAAACGCCGGCATTTTCAAGTTGTGAATTTTAACTCCCATCCATCTCAAGCTCTATACACTTTCTGTATTTCTACATAAGCAATAGTTTTGGTGTTTATGCCATTAAACATTATATTATGTTATATTATATTATTTTCTGCACCGTCATCATTTTTCATATATTGGGATTTTCATTTATGTGAATTTAAACTGTCATGGTTTTGAAACTGTAATCTTATTGACCATGTTACCTGTTGTGCATGATTAAAGTTTAGTTTTGGTTGACTGTGTTGTTATAAGCATTATTTATTATTGCATCAAAATTGAAAAAAGGACCAACTTCCTACATCCTTATTTTCTGCTTTTTGCCTGTGCATTTGACAGCTTTGCTGCCTTGTTTAATGATTTCCAGCTTTTCCCTTCTCACATCAAGTCATCGCCTCATAAACAGAGGTCCAGGATGCCTGTACATTTACACCAGCATGGGAGATGGACTAAATGTGTCCTGTACTATATCACCGGCCGGTCCTGCACGACCTCCGCTACCACCAAAATCAAAGACCCGCCCACACCCCACGGGGCGGCTACACACGTACCTCAGGCACGGCCGCTGGAAGAAATGCCAGGACCAAAGGGCCTGCCTTTGCTGGGAAACCTTCTGGACTATACCAAGTTTGGTACGCTCATTTTGCACTGTCATCTAGTGTGTTAGCCGGTCAGATAAACCATTATTATACCGGTATATTTTATAGAATATTCCTTTAGGTGGAGTAGTTTTACGACCCTTGTTTATGAGACAAATATCGGTATATTTTTAATGTTAAAACCATCGTTTGATATTTTAAGTATAACATGAAAATTAATCAAATCATCTTCCAGGGAACAAAAAA